CGATCAGATTGTGGTAATAACGAACGCCATCCTGGCTAATGTAATTCACGAATCCTGTTGGCAATATTCGTGGCCAGCTCACGGAAAACCTGTACGACGTGAACTGTCGACAACCGAGAAAAGAATTATTAGGCTAATTTTGTTTAGGATGCAGATATTCGACAGTTCTGAAACTGTCAATTTCAAACCAAAGCGTACACTAGAGTTTATTTACCCCAAGTTTCTTCAACAAAGCTACGTCTTCCTTGTACTTGTAGTAAGAGTTGGTAGCCACATCGCCCGTCGCATTACCATAGACACGTCCATCCTTGTAATGGCAGAAACGGTCCCAAGTACTTTCCCCTTTATCTAGATTTTTCAAGTACGAAGGGTATGAAAAGTTTGCAAATCAAAAGCAGGAAATTTGAACTTGACCCACCTACCGCTCACATTCCAAGCTCCTTCTATTTGGTATGCGGCTGTCGCAGCTCCCAGAACAAAGCCTGGTGGAAACCTTAGATGGTTTTTATCATCCTCCACAAAGTTGCCATTTGCGACACTAGAAAGAGCAAGTTTCAAAAGATTTAGAGTTACACCTACTTTAAATTCATTTTCTGAACGAATATAGCGAAAAATTTTTCACAGAATAATTGTAACATATCGAAAGATCATTGACTTTGTACGTTAAACAGCAATTATAAGTCTAACTGTTTCCATTCAGTTCCTAACATTGAGTAAAGCAAATCAGGTATTCGATGTATGAAATTTTATATTCGCTGATTATGAATTGTTTTAAACAAAATATATTCACATCGCCAAGAAGAGGAGAACACAGAATTTCAGCGACAACGTAGCGAACATATCTGCTTGCAAATTACAGAGACGTTATCGAGGTCGTGCGTGTCGTTTATATACTTGACCTGAACATATTATCGAATCTGTAGATAATAGCTCTCAAGTGATATTTGGCATTTTTAATGAACCGATGGTATCTAATCGAAATTCAAGTTATTCATTTATACTGTTTACACGTTCCGTGTTCTCTTTGTGATTGCCTAGATTATAAAAATCAGTAAAGTCGTGTTGGAAAGTTTTCGAACGCGTTCGAGATATTGTAACGCTCTACTTGTGAGCTAATGTGATGAACGGATAGTGACAAGTGTGGTCATATTATTATAATTTGTGCGGTATCAATCTACATACGTATTTCATATGTTTATACATTTATTGTATGTTCAACTCGCTTTTCATTTTTCAGATTTATTTTGAAATAAGTTAGCAACTCGTTACGCTTCCTAACGATTTTAGCTGCATTAAATTTTATCGACATAGAGAAAGAAGAAAAACGGGCACGCTTAAGACGTGTTCTCTGCCACGTTGATGGATTCTCGGTTTCCCGAGCTCCGAGAGGAAATCTTGCTTTCGTGAAATACGTATCCTGACAGGTAATCTCTGCGTAACATTCGGCTTCAAGGTTATATAAGGAGGATAGAAAAATACGCGGCGGCACGACAAATTTTGTTTTCGCGAAGATGCCACTCGCTCCTCCATTCTCTATTTGGTTCTTCGATATCCTGGCTACGAGACTCCATAGTACTCCAGAAGGCGCCAGGTTTACGACCGTGTGCGAAGGAAGTGGATCAGGGACTATCCTCCTTGGATAAGATAACACACCGAATGCTCGTAACGCAGAGAGATCGGAACAAATGTAAAAAATAATTCCGTCAGCGACGGTGATTTGAACTCGACGTGTGAATGTAAATAACAGTTGTCAACGGATATCAACATGAAACGGGAGTTATTTATCTCTGTATATTCTTAAAACAAAGATACGAATTTTTCGATAATGTATCGAATAGGATCAAATCCAATAACTAATTTTTACATGTAATAATAAATATGTTTACTATGATTTTCATAGTCTTGTTACCAGCAATCGATGCCAAACGATAACGTGATTCATAGTTACGAGAATTGAACGTATTAACGTGCTACTTGAACAAACGATCGGACTAGAAGATAGCTTTAAGCCTGGCTTTATTTCCCAATTATCCTACACATGGGCTGCACTCAAAATTGCCCTTATCGCGGCACCACCCACGTTCGTATTGCCTCCCATACCTATGTAATTACTTGTTAAATTTATACATGCTACAATATATACAACCACCTACTCTCGTTTAATCGAAAATTTAACTGAAATTCACACCGATAAAAAATCATATGATACGAATTCAATCAGATCCGTATTCGTCATCGCAAACTTCTTCTCAAACATTAACATACCAATCGTACATTCAATCAGAACACGACCGACACTCGTTGTCGCGGATACGTAATAACGCCTATTACCGTCTTACACGTGCTTCCTTTGTTTAGCGTGCCACGTAAGTGTGTGCCAGCGAATGGCGATGCGAATATCGCGAACGTGGAGGAGTTTCGCCGCTGGGCGGCAATAGGGAACGGTGTAGCAGGTTCGCGACACAATAAACCATTCCA